TTGGCTATGTTATTGACGCTAGCTTAACAGGTCTAGGTATAGTGCCGAATCACAAGGTGATTGTGTATCTCCGTGCCAGGTTCCTATGAGGGAACAAAATCCACTTTTAATTATTTGACTAACCAATGAAACTAGTCGGCGACCGTAAGAACATTCATGTATGGGTTGCTGATTTTTTTAGAGTAATTTGGGGGTACTGTGAACAAGTAAGGTGTTCTGAATCACATAGCACCAACCATAAACAGCATAAGAACATTTGAATTTCTACCCAAAGGAACCTCAACAATTACAAAAGAAATGTGTCATCATATTGAGAGAAATCTGCTTCAGGTGAAAAAGGTCTTATTTAAATAAGAAAACACCTTGACTGCAATTTGATTGAAACTAAACAGGGGCCCTACACATTTGTGTTCTTTGATTGGGGGTGATAAGGAGATTGTCTTCCATTAACATGATTGTGTGTTACATATATTTTATTTCCAGGCTTGGAGAGGCATGCAGCCATATTGCAGCGGTAATGTTCAAGTTGGAGGCAGCGAACGGCCTAGGTTTTACTTCACAGGCATGTACTGAAAAGGCCTGTAGTTGGAACAAAGACTGCATGATTGGGAGGGACTTAGACCAACGTACCCTTAAAGATCTTAGCTTCACAAGGCCGGCAAGAAAAAAGGTCAGTTCGCCCACTTAACCCTACATCAACAGCCACTTGAGGAGATCTTGATTTAGATGCATTGAAATGGGTAAGCCCAGAGGCATGCATTTTTTCACTCCTCCCTAAGCAAGATGAAGACACTGACACAGCATCAGAAAATGAAAATAATGTAAAACTAGAGTTGCAGACAAAACTACCAACACCCTATTGTCACCTTAAAGCAACTGAAGTGCTGGACCGTCAGCAAATCTCTGAAGAGCAAGCAGAACTCATTGCATCAAGCACATCTGGACAGAAAAAAATCGAACTTGTGGCACCTCTATCGTTATGGTAGAATTACTGCATCGGTACTGGGTCTGTGGTCAAATTCATGAACGGATCGTCAAAGAGGGATGCTACTTCACTCTGCTCCAAAATGCTTGGACTTAACTCATTCTTTCCAACCAGGGCCATGAAATGGGGGATTGATCATGAGTCAGTGGCCTTGGCTTCTCTGAAACAGTGTTTAGAGTTAAAGGGCCATCAAAATGTTACACTGTGGAATGTTTGGCTCTACATAGACCCAGATTCACCATTTCTTGGAGCATCTCCTGATTCCATGGTCAGTTGCACAAGTTGTGGGGTGCAGTGTGTGGAGGTCAAATGTCAACACAACAACAAAATGCACACAACCTAGATCCACAAAGTTTTGCTGGAGCCAAAGCCATTGACTGTTTGAATGTGACAGGGAATGAACACAATTGTACAATCTCTCTGAAGGAAAAACATGACTACTTTTACCAACCAAGTGTTGTGTCAAATTGGTGTTCTAATCAAATTGAAAAATGTATCATCTGGGTTGTTTGTTGTTAGGAAATCCAAAGGAATGTTTGTGCAGAAGAGTCATCATAATGCAGACCAGTGAAAAACAATGAAGGAATACAGTGAATTGTTTTTTAAACAATATCTCCAGCCTTTAATTGTAAAGATTGCACAAAAGCCAGAGTTGTAGTTTTGGATAGACTTGACTTAAGTCAGAATTGCACTAATTTGGTGTCTCAAATTACCAAACACACTTAGTTTACATCTTTCCAGAAGCATGACAAGTTACACTAAACGCCCGTTTCACTTAAGTATTATGTATAACAATTAAAACAGTGCTTGCACATATTGTACGTCTTCATGCTTGGCTGTGCATGCATCAAACACAATGTACATGTACGTGTACATGTATGTAATTTTTTTTTTAAAAGTTAGCAATTCAGACTTGATCAACTGCTATCAGCACCCCCCCCCCCCCGGCAAAATGAAACAGAACTGAGCAAAAGTACATGGAAGTAAAGGTGAAATGATGCAAAAACAAAAGTTACAAACAATAGGCCTACAGAGTGGGGATTCGCTTCCTCCAATCTTCAGATTTATTTATGTATAATCTTTTATAAATGCACTAGACATTTGTTAAAGATACTGTATAAAATAAACTGTGTAATTAAGATTTGTTTATGGAAAAACAATTGGCATCTTTTATTTCGACGTTTGTGAGGAAAGTACGCTCATTGACTTTCTGTCATGAACTGACACAACAAAAAATCACTAAAAGGCAGTTTTACTACATGTTTTTTTTTTTTTATTTGCATAGTATTCTATTTATTTTTTGTGTAGACATGTCGAGCTTGGGTAGGCAGGCCTTAAGGCTACAGTGTTTAAGTACACTTTTGTTTACCCTGGCCGGTTTGAAATGTTATTTTGTTCTTGTTTTCCGTCCCTCTATCTCCTCTCCCCTGTCAAACTGTCCACCCTCCCTTCCCTACCTCCCCCCCCTCCAACCCATTCCTACTTGCTTCAGTCTTGTCTGGTCATACTTTTCAATTTCTATTTTTTGATTACTTTCTGATTTATACTTGCTTTGTCATTGTACTTTTGTTCATTTGTTGGCCGAATAAATAATAATAATAATAATAGTATGTACACTGTAATCTAAAATCTGGCAACTTTCTGCTCACAAACCAATTTAGTTTTAAATGTACATGTTTTAAACCAACCAATTACATATTTATTCCCATCTAGGCTAAAACAAAATGTCATGTTTATGGTACCTGGAAATATTGTGGCCAAATCGCCATCCTATAACTGTGTCATTTTGCAAAAAATACAGTACACCTATATTGTCAATGAGTCTCAAACATTGCAAAACAACATTCAAACTGGAATGAAAGAAAAAAAAAATCACAGCATAAAATCATTTCCCTACCTATCTACGTGAATTTTTTCACCCAGACTGTTACCGTAAACACACATATTATTTTGTTTGGCCTAAATATTAATAAATTGCAGAAGAATTGGAAGATCACATATTTTATCATATAGGTTGAATGGCAAGGGTTGATCTCGAATTGAAAAGATTTTACCCCTATGCATGTTTCTGGAATAAAGATTGCCTATATAATGAAGGGAATTTGACCGATAACCACTCTAAAAACTACAATATGACCATTTAACACATCAACATCCAGTTGACTTGAGATCTAGATTTAAATGCATTTTTCAGCTGTCTAGCAGTCACAGTTGTAGAAATTAGAGGTCACATGACATTCTTTGCTTGATTTCTTTCTGGAAAATTACAAACAAATATAAAGGAGTAGATCTACGCTATAGCTGTAAAGCACCAAGTGAGATTTTTGTTACAGAAATTTCTATTGCAGTCTGCTTCTTTATTTCTGTTTATCATACAGTCTGCGGAAGATACATTTGAATGGTGCACATAGTAAACAAAGCCAAACCCAGCCGTCTGATTTTCGGCATACATGTACTTGTTACATCCTTGGCAGCCAAACTAGGTAGGCACTTATGTATAAACGGGTTAGGCTAATGCTACAGGTGTTAATGGAAAACACTGTTTTGCTAGAAAAAAAAACATACCGATGTGAAAAGTTTCAGATAATGTACTTATGATCTTTTAAGCAAAGTTTTGTTGAAAGAGGTGCAAATAAAAACAACTAGGACAATTTTCAGATACATGTATAAATATTTATTTTCCTATACGTTTACATTGTGTACTATAGGTTCCGGAGTGGACTGGCATCCTACCCGTCAGAGTTTGTAGGCACACTTGAAAACCAGGAAAACTATGTGGGCAGGGCCTAAATTGTTTATTTTTATGCACAGAAAATGCCTATCACACAATGTTCACTAAAATTTAAAAACATATTTATTGAGCAAACGTTTTAAATTTGTCAAGTGTTTCCTGTCAAAATGTCTTTTTCCCGCAATATTTACAGTAACATGCCTTTAAATGAGCATCAAAGACGGAAATCGTTTGTTTGATCTTTTGACATTTTCCTGGACATGCTGGAGATATTTTCCACATAACTGGAAGTTTCCAGCCTGACTATCTGGTAAGCCTTTACAGTGCCATGTTCTTCTGGCATCTTATATATTTCGTGCAATTGGGGGATTCAGTATAAGTTGGAGTTTTTCTTAATTAATTTGTTTTCTACTAAATTATATCTTTGTTAAATTACACCCAGTAAAACCTTCAAGTACGGCAAGTCAATCTAGTATGTAGTATAACACACTAATTTCAAAATAATATACCATGAGAAAAGTTTCATTTCGTGTTTCAAACTAATTAAAAAGAAAACTAATGTTCACTGTTTTGAATGTGGCTCTAAATTCGCATGATTGTTTAAAATTCTTTTAAATGCATTTACAAGTTTTGTTAAAGCCCAGATCGTCAGTTTCTTCTTGAGTTTTGAGTCATTGCTCCCATTTGATGGATTGTATTTTTATGAGTTTTATTTCCACAGTCTGGAGTTAACATTGAGATGACCATGCATGAAAGGAACGATTAGAGGTTTAAAGATGTTGCATGTTCATTGTGAATTCCTCTTGTAATACTTTCGATATTGGAGCCGTAGTGCAAAACCCATTGCCAGTATAGATGAACCTTCATAGAGCCAACCTTGGCTGGAACAGCACAAATATTGTTTTATTGTTCGAGAGTATCAGGTATCTCTTTCATTTTTTTCTCCACCAAGCCAACTTTAAACCTACATGTACAGGTAATCTAAATTTTGGGTCTCATAAAACCTTTGAACAGTAAGGTTGCTATGATCCATTTGTAAGGCTTGCGTAATAGTAATTTGGAAAAAACTCTAATTAATTATGCAGACATTTTTAAGATGGCAGGCAAAATCTTTGAACATCAATTTCTCTAGTTTTGAAAACCGTATCTTCATACCACTGCCAAAGTTTGTTTCCCTTATCATGATCCAACAAAAATCGTTCCAATGTATTCAATGTTTATACATTTCTTGTCGATGTAATTTCCATTTCATGTACACAATCCAAAAATTAAAGGTGTAACAAGCTTCTCCATTAGGTAAGAGGGTGCCATCAGCAGGACCAGCCTCAAAGGTGAAGAGGAGATACAGTCGGGGCTACCGAAAGTCACAGGAACACCTAGAGGCTGTTAGAAGAGCAGTGGAAGAAGCTCTTCAAGATACAAGTTACATCAAGAGAACTGCAGCGAAGTATAACCTAGAGTACCACTTTTTGTACAGGAGAGTTCTAGGAACCGTTGAGGTAGAAAGTAGAAATGGCCCGGACCCTGTCCATAGTGCAGACGAAGAAAAAAACATTGCCCATTTCATTTCTGAAATGGCCCTCAGAGGTATGGGGTTAGGCCCTTCAAATGTCATGGACCTTGTCCAAAATTTCCTCCAACAGGAAAAGAGGAAAACAGTATTTCACAACAACCGACCAGGGTATACATGGTATTATGCTTTCAGTGCTAGACATGGCCTTGCACTTCGAAAGGGATCTTCCTTGGAAGCCAGCAGGGCAAAGGTCACTCCAGCCAAACTAGACGAGTGGTTTAGTAAATACAAAAGATTCATGTCTTACAGGAATCTTCTGGACCAACCCCATCGAATATGGAATGCTGATGAGACTGGTTTCACCATGGGCAGCAAGACCACTAAAGTCATGGCACCAGAGATGTCAAGTCATCCAATTCCCCAGCTGTCAGGTGGTTCCCTGAAGAACAGATTTACAGTGATGTACTGTGCCAATGCAGAGGGTGCGATGATTCCGCCATTCATCATCTTTCCAAACAAAAAACCCACAGGATATGATCCACTTGTTGGAGCCACAATAGGTGCTCATGCTGAATATACCGACAAGGGATGGATGGACGCCTCTACATTTTCAATGTTTTGACAAGTACGCCGGTGAAGAAAGGCCTGTGGTGTTGATGACAGACAGCGCTAGTTCTCACATCGATATCAACACATTCAGGAAAGCGTCAGAGAATGATCGAAATTTATCGCTTGCTCCCCAATAGCACCCATCTCATGCAGCCACTTGACAAAGGTGTCTTTCGACCTCTTAAGAAGCAGTGGTATAAGGTGATCAACAGGAACACGAGACAACAACCAGAGAAGCCAATCTGTAAGAGAAGCTTTGCAGCCAAGCTTGCGGAAGCACAAGTGGAGTTTTACAAGCCTAGCATCACCATCAATAGCTTCAAGGCATCAGGTATTTTCCCTGTAGACAGAGGTGTCATCCGTAACGATTTGCTGAAGCCTTCGATGACATTCAAGGGATTGGCCGACTCACACCGAACGCCAACTCGAAAGGGCCCAGAAAAGCTCAGAGTAGTGCTGCACATGCTACAGAAGCATTTCAGGTGTATGAGTCCGTCTTGAGTTCTCCGCAACGCTCCATGTATGCAAAGAGGTTTGCTGAAGGTGAAGACAGCCAATCACCAGGCTTTGTTACTTACAGGAAGTTAAAAGAGAAGGCAAACCCGCCATGTTCTTCTGTTACAACCGATTGTCTTGTTGTGTTGGGAAGTACATGTACATGTGTCCCTTCTACCAGCGACACGTCAGGGCTTGAACTCTTAGCATCAGCTGCTGTTGAGTGTGACAGTCCAACAACTTCACATAGTTCGCCGCATCATGTTTCTCCTGTTCTCATGGATTTAGTTCAGCTCCCCAACGTCGGCTCTGAACAAGGTGCTGGTAAATTGAAGCCAGTTTGCCTGTTAGACAAACTACCAGATTGCCTAACTTCACCTGACAGCATTCGTGAAATGGCCCTTGCCCAGCTGAAGTTTGCCAGGGAAAAGGGTACGAAGGAGAAGCGTGCAAAGCTCATGTACCCTTTCCAAAAGGGAAAGAAACTTGAACAAGCTGCGGAAAAAACAGGCGGTGGTGTACAGATCAGAGAGCAGGGCCTCCACCAGCACAGTGTGCCCTGTGTGTTGCGGGACATTCATTCGAGGAGGAGTCTCAACAGGATATTGTCATGATTTGGGTTGAATGTGATGCTTGCAAGAGTTGGATGCACAAGAGCTGTATCCCGATCAATTTCAGCTACAATGAAGATGCATTTCTGCCAGACAGTTTAGTCCAGTTCAGATGTCATATGTGTTCGACATAGCAAGACCTCAACATATGTAATCCCGAGGAACTTTGGACAACTTGTAGGAGTCATTCTGTGGTGCATTTACAAGATGTGTTGTCCCCATGTTTCTGAAATCAAGAAAAAAAGAAAAAACACGTTACAATACAGAGTTTGGTTGCATTTTGTGATATATTGCAACAAATTGTCATACCTCTCCTCCAACATGAGGTGCTCAAATTTACTTCTGAAACAAAATTGATTACATTTAATAGGAAAGGTAAGGTAAAGTCACATTATAAGCTGCATAAAGTGTCCAATCTGAAACATGAAATTGATGATTTGTTGGAATTTTGAATTTTGTATTGTTTCAGATTTCATGTTGGCTAACCACTTGTGACAGAGTGCAAGATGGAGGTTATCACCATTAAAGATTCTGTGATAAAGGGTTACCACAAATTCCAAGTGTGACCGCCAATGGACTCACCTATTAATCTCATTGTAGATTTGGAATACACAAACATTAAAGACGACAATGCATCCTTAGTTTGGATTCCTGAGCTAGACAAATTTCTAACCGATTCCAAAAGACATCTCAAGCTTGATATAGCTTGCCTTCCAGTTGGACATGCCCCTCGAGGTCTCAGTTCAGTTTTTCGGAAACTCATAGAAACAAATCATAAAATCGTTGCTGAACCAACTGGAGAACCAAGGCAGAGTTTCCCCCCATGGCCTAAAGTGTATGAGAAAGGTGGTGGCTCTGTGATACCTTGAGACTACACCATTACCTGCAATAAGGTTGAAAAAGAAGTTGTTCTAAGTATGATTAGGGAGGAGATAAATAAAATGCCAGAGAAAGAGTGTATGACATTAGTCTAGAATGAACTAATAAAAACAGAAATAAAAACAGTGACAATGGTAGAGACCTGGGCCCAATTTCTGTGCTCTATTTACCGTTAGCAAAAATCCCTGCTAACTATGGCAGAAAATTTTATGATTACTGTATATTTTACAGATTAGAGAGGAATATTTGCTTGTGTGCACTTGTACATCCTTCAACAAAGGATTAACACAGGATTAACACAGGATTCTGCGCTTACAGAGTTAGCACAGAAAGTTTTCTGCTAGTGTGGTTAGCACAGAATTGTGATCGTCAGCACAGAATTCTGTGGTTAGCAGAACCATAAAATTGGGCCCCAGATACTGACAGTCAATGTCTTGGCTCCATGAATGTATGGCTCCTCATCTTTGTTAATGTCTGTTGGCAAGTTCTGTATATATTTGTAAACAACAAGGAGATTGCTTCATCGTCTTCAATTTGTGTCCATATTTTCAAGTTGTGTATATAGTTCACCTCTTTTTTTGTTTTCAAAGGTCTTATCCCGATATACATATTTGTAGATTGTATCAGTTTCTTTACTTTAAAAAGTATCATAGTTTTCTGTGAAGTGTAAAGTGTCATTTTTATTTCATGTTTTATTGTTCCACCCTCATTAATTCATGTGGTTTCTTTTTTTGGGGGGGGGGTTCACATTTAACATAACTTTTCTTTATTTCATTTGACTCCCCTCTTTTATGTTAATTCATTTCCTTCATCTTCCTTTAATTATTTTCCCTCAGGTGTTCATGTGCAGGATTTTTTTTCGTCTTATTGTATGACATGTATGTAGATTGATCCATCGTCATTAATTTATGTTTAAAAATTGTCATAAGGTAGGTTGATCCATCTTCATTAATTCATATTATATTTGTATGTGAGATTTCACATGGTATAATTTCTCATGCAGCGTGCAAGATAAATTTTCAGTCGTCTCATTGTAAGTATTATGGCAGTTCATCTTCATGAATTCATGCTATTTTTTTTCTATTTCAATGTGCAGTGACTGTTTACATGTGTACATGGTTATTTGTATACTTGTATTTTAACTTAAATGTATGTTCATGGCCTTTTTTGCTCCAACATCATTAAGTCATGTTATTTTATGTCATTTGTGGTTTTCTTTTAGATTTCAATGTGCAGTGACTGTGTAAGTAAGTACATGATTATTTGTATTTCAACTTAATCTTATGTCCATGGCACATTTTGTTGCTCCATCTTCATTTAGTCATGTTATTTTATGTCATTTGTGTTTTTGGTCTACATGTATCTCAATGTGCACTGACTGTGTACAGGTGTTCATGATTATTTGTACTTCAACTTAATCTGTTATATATCCTGTACAGTGTATATAATACATTTTGTTTCATGCCCTATATTGTGTTTAGATGATATTCATTTATTCATGGCATTTTAGTTATGAATCAAATGAGCAGGTTAAATGAGAAAATGTATTGCTCCATCTTCATTTCTTCATATTTTGTCATTTTTGTTCATGTGCAGTGTACACAATGAACAGTTTTCCTTGTTTTTAAATGTATGCGCGGAGGCGAGGGTAATTATCAGCGACCAGACTCTAAGTGGTCTTAAACAGAGTGATAAATACCGACGGAGCACATATTTATTCCCATTCATAAATACCTTTTCGGTAAAAAAAATCATATAATTCGTTCAAAACATCCCGATTTTGTTCAACAAATTCACTTTATGCTTTTTGAAACATCCCTCTTGCAAAATAATGGAGAGTTCAAGCTGGCGAGTAAGATGTAAACAACCCTTTTATGGAGATTGACGCGCGCGTATCATGTTCTGCGCGATGTCGCGCAGAACGCACGTGGCGCGTTGCGTTTTGAATTTAGAACTATAAAATTTTGACTCCTCGGTAGTGTTGCGCATGCCTACGTGAGGATTGTAAACGTTCAACCAATGAAACGATAAGAGGCACTGGATTTTTAGAGTCCACAATTTATTGTGACACTGGAAAAGTGTTAAAGACCAGCTAGCCATGTCTTTATCATCCGTTTAAGACCGGCCACGTGACGGGCTTTCGACCAATAGGAATGCGTAAACTGTCTTAGGTATTTATGAATGTATTTTAATACTATTCCATCTTCATTTATTCATGTTATACATTGTCATTGTTTTCATGTGCAGTAAACATACATGTATGAATTTTACTGCCTCATCTACATTTATTTTTGTAATTTTATGGTACAATTTTATATGCAGTGTACATGTTGATAACATTTTGTATTGCTTCATGGCATGCATGTTCCATCTTCATAAGTCATGTTAATTTGATTTGATAAAATGGAAAAGTTGCGGGTAACAGCTTGTGGAAAGAAATGTGGTTCTGAAAAGAACCGTTTGGTTAAGTGTTGAACTCGACATTTCGGACAGTGTGCTCTGTTCATCATCACTCACACTCCCCCTCTTTAGGACGGACAGAGCACAGTGTCCGAAATGTCGATTCTACACTCAGAACTACACTTTTCCCAAGAAAAGATTTCTTTCCACATGGTTTTAACCGCCACTTTTCTATGTTGTCTCATCTGCTATGCAAAGCTTCAAGTCATATTAATTTGACATTTATTTCACTTTTAAACTTCTACAGTATGTGTGTGCAGTGCACATCTTACATGTATGTCCAATAGCAATTTTTGTTGCTCCATCTTCAATAAGTCATGTTATGTAATTTTTTCATGTGCAGTGTACATTGCTACATCTACATTTTTTTTGGTGTACATGGATGATGTATATTTGTATTTACATGTGTGTACATGACTTTTTAAAAAAGTGATTCATGAAACAATTTAACAAAGATACGCAGAACAGAGAAAAACAAGAAGTTGTTGCGGTAAAAAAAAATCATGTGTCCTTATCTCCATTTTCTGTAATATTCCACATTCGGGGAATATATGAGGTCATAACATGG